TAAGGTTTCCAAGATGATAAAATAGGAAGATTCATTCCACTGTATAACTAATTTTTCAGAAGTCCTTCTGGGGACTGCATTGACAGACTCTTCAAAAATCTTTCAAGACACTTTTAACAATAATCTTCGCAAATTCAGGTAAACAAGGATTCTCCTTTAGGGACTGATCACGAATGTCATCTCCAGCAGTAACTGAATCATGAAATGAGGAGCATAGAACTGGGTCTGAAGTCCTCATTAGTATCATGTCATGTCACGTCACATATCATATGATTGTTGTTAACCTAGAGTTCATCATGCACACAGTAAAAAGAACTATTTGTAGCTTACAAAGCTCTTTTACACACTTGATCTCAATTGACCATCAGATTCATTTAAAAACACTTAGAAGAATATCTAGCAAATTGTCTGCTCAAGAATTGTCAGAAAATAACTTTCTGGACACTGTAAAGTGTAACGAATTCTCTGTGTAAGGCACAGGCATTCAGGAGCATATTTTTGGTATATAACTGATAAGAATTTAGTGGCAAACCAAAGTTCTCATATAATTACTTTAGCCACAGAAAGATCTACAATATTTCTGTTTGGCTTGTTTATTCTGTGTAACAGATTAAAACTATTTCCCAGGTATTCATTTCCAGGGGAGTTTAATAGGGTATTTTGATTAGGTGATTTTTAGTAAGTTAGAGTAAATGTGATTAGATTGAATAGGTACATAAATCTCAATCTTATTATCTCAATAAATGCCCTGCATATTTATGAATGCTTCCATACCACCAGTGAGGAGCTGAAAACCATAATTACTTTTAAATTTGACATGAATCAGTTTTCTCAAACTGTCCTAAAGTCACAGGAATAGTGATGAAATAACACATTTAAAAAATATCTTTGGAAAGTTACCAAATTGCTAGCTGAACAGTTAACATCAGCCAGCTGTTTGCTGCAATAAGAGAAGTGCAAACATATTTATTTCCATATCCTTTTATACATAAGATCATCTCTTTCATTTAGGCCTTCTGTATTTGTGATGAAAACCCAGGAACATATGAGAAATTTTAGAGTTTGGTTATAAAGAGCAAACCCAAATCTGTGATAATTCAAATACTGATTATCTCAACAGCTTCAAACAGGTGGTTACCCCATGACCCACAAACCTGAACAAATATTTCCTTCAGTCAATATTTCCTAGTGATATAAAAGATCATGGGTCATAAATGTAGCTGCTTAATGTAAGGCATGACAGATGGAGGCTTAAAGGGGTGACTATTATGATCTATTTATTACTGCAGGAAGGGAGCTTTACTCTTTGGATGTACTTTTTCCTGGGAGTTATATACTATACTACAAGTTGAACAACAGCTTCATAGGGCTACATGATCATATTTCAGTCATTTGGAGCAAACAACTTAATTTCTTTGAAACTCTTTAAAATTATAGAAGCTAGTTTAGTTACTGATGCATCATTATATCTATGAGACTCTTGCTTGCTCTATGCACAGTAACAGAAATATGCTGTTTTTACATTTTCCTTAATATGAATAATGGTTGCATAAATATTTTTGGCTTTATTTGATATGTGTTCAGAGGCACCTTCAGGGATTTTGCATTATCTTAATTTTTCACAGTTCACCTTAACATAGAACACTTTAGGACATTTGAGGGGTGAAATCCTACTTCCAGTTTTTCTGTTTGTTTGCTTTTGGAAATAAAGACCTTCTATAAATAAATTACTAAACTCAAGGTAGCTAATCTGTGTCTGACTTCCTGCAGTCCTTGAAGCAATTGACTGGGGTATATGGCACTGCTCTCTCCTTCAAAAAGATTAAAGTTGCTTTTAGAATATCTTAGTATTTCATAACACAACTTTCCATGAAAATCTCAGACTAGTAGTAGAAAACATTGAGATTATTTATCCAAAGGGTCTTTTTGTGGATTTGCTCTACCAGTCCCAAAATAGTTCACTTAACTGGTTGAAGTTTCTAGTCTAGCCCATAATTGTTGGTTCTTACACACCAACTCTCATAGGCCCTACTGAATTTTTAAAGAAAAAGGGAAACAGAAAACATGTAAAATTTTTTTAGTGTACTTTGGGTACATCTGCTTACTCTGTGTCAGGAAGAAATGTAGTTCCTATGCTATTTTGGTGGTGTAATTAAAACTCTACATCTTATTTATGTCTTAATGATCTTGCATTAATCCTACTCACACACACCCCACATCTCTTTAATGTCTTCACCTATATATTTTCAGTCTGTGGCAAGAAGCTTAATGTCTATAACTGCTACTTTTGGTAACATATTTCCCAAGCCCAAAACAGGGGCAAAGACTCTTTTCAGTGGTTACTTTTATTTCTCTGATTCCCAGCAGCATTTAAACTGGCTGGCACTCCTTCTTGAAACACTTTTTATTTCTCTTTCTCTCTAGACACTCTCAAGCAGTCTTCATGACTTTGAATGGTTTCTCTGTAATGGGGGGTGGGTTCCTAAACTTGCATCTCTAGACTCACTCTTGAGCTGAGCTCCAGAATCATACATTTAACTGCCTACTTGATATTGTCACTTAGCTGACAAATACCCAAGTTGAAACAACACATTCGTAGGATCTACATAGTCATATTTTAGTCACCCACTCTTAACCTGCTCCTCTCCCTGACTTCTCTGCCCTGGTAAAGAACACCTCCAACCACATCGTTTTTCAATCTCAGACTTTGAAGTTGCCCCACTTCCAATCCAGGAAGTGTGGTTGACTCTATACCATGTGCCTATAACATGCCAAACCTGACTGTTTCTTTCTTTTGTTCCAGAAAGGATAAACCACCACCATCTCTCTTCTGGAATGTTGCAATTGCCTTTTAACTTACTTCTTTCCTTCTGATCTTGCTGAGTCTACTGCAATCCATTTTCCACTAAGCAGCGTCAGTTCCTTGCTTAAAGGCATCCAGTTAGTTACCTCTCAATATATGTAGAATCAAATCCCCTACCACTTTACCATGGCTTTTAAAGCCTTACTTAGTGAATTTTAATCCTTTCTGCACATTAGGAACATGTGGAGAGAAGTAATGTTGAAACCCTGGAGATTCTGAATTGATGCATCTGGAGTGGGCCTAGGATAGGGAGCTTTCACTTTGTTTTGCTTTTTAAATGCCCCAGAATATACAGGCAGAGTTGAAAACATTGCCTACATGACTGGATGTCTGCCTACCAGTATGTCCATATCTTCTCTGACTCTTGCTTTCCTTCTTGATGTTCTAGTAGCAGAGGCCCCCAACACATGAAGCCCATTTCTGAAGACATGCTCGTTTACACATCCAAAATATTCACAAGGCGCTCTCCTTGTCATTCACTTCTTAGCTAAATTGTCACCTCCACAGAGAAGCCTTCTCTAATCACTAACTCTAAGTTCACACTCCCTGTTTCTATCACAGTCCCTGTTTTTTCATCCTAGCCCTGGTTGTTTCTAGTCTGTTTATTTGCTCATTTCTGCTCATCCCTCTAGATAGTTAAGTTTGCTAAAGCAGTTACCAACTCCAGTATTTAAAATATGATAGAGTCTCAACAAATAGTTGATAAATGAGCAAATGAAGTGGCAGCAGTGTAATTATGAGAGAATATGAAATAAGATTTGAAGTTGGTACTTTCCTGGGAAATCCAGGGCATTTTAGTTGCTTAACAAACTAGAATGTGTCAAATTGCATAGGAAGTCTGAAGTCTGCATCATTCTTTGATTTGAGGAGGGGAGAGGAGAGGGGTGCTACTATTCCTTTTTCTCAAATGTTCTAATTGCTTAAATTTTCAGATATTTAATTGGTAGGGATCAAAAACATCCTGTGACCTATGGTTTTATTGATTTATCAATGTGCTTTCTTCCACCATCTGGCTGATGATACACTATTCTTGGCTGTCCTGTAAAAACACTATTTAGCTCCAAGGCTCTCAGTGGTGGGGTCATCAGATGGTGGAGCTCAGTGGTTCCCAACCCTTGCTGCACATTAGAATCTTCTAGGAGAATTAGAAAATATACATGTGCTTGGATTCCACCACAGAATGATTAAATAAAATTTCTGAGTATGGAGCCCTGGCATCAATTTATTTTTAAAAATTTCCCCCTTTAGCTCCCCCACAGCCAAACCTTTCCAAGTGATTCTGCTGTGTAGACTAGTTTAAGACCCACTGACAGTCAACACAATTTGGCCTAGGGAGAAAGGGAAAATCTATTCAATATGCTAATACAGGCAGAAAACATCCCCAAGAAGAGTAATCTTTTGCTGATAGGGATGTTTAGTTTTTTCCTTGAGAAGCATTGATTTTTATTTCATCACCTTTTCAAAGTCATGAATGCTATTAGTGGTCATAAAAAGATTTTTTCCTTAGAAAAAAAATATTTTTAAAGTGCTGAGTAAGCCAGAGAAAAGCAGAATGTGCAATTTATTGAGATGGGGCAAGGTGTTTTGGTTAGCGCAACTCTCTGGCCTGCAAGAAGGCAGCCTGGGGCAGTGTGGAGCCCAAGCCTCAGGTTGAGAACCAAGTTTGACATTCACTCTGCTGCTTACCAGCTGTGACCCTTGCCCAGTTGCTGAGCTCTCTTTAGCCTCATTTACTTCTGCTGCTAGGTTGCTTTAAAATAGCTTAGTTTTCCATTCACATTACACAGTAGGCAGTGGAAATCTCAGACTAGCCATAGAAAACATTTGGATTTTGCTGCAAACATTGCTGCAAAACGCAGCTGATAACACCTTCCTCACTGGACTGATACGGTAAACATGGGTAGTGTATGTAAAATGCCAGGCACTCCTGGTGATTTTTCCTTTTTCTTTCTTCTCTCTCTCTGCATTACAAGTACGTCCATTGGTAGGATTGGGCCTGGCATGCAGTTAAGTGTTAAAGGAGCGCTTGAAATGTCTATTGTGATTTTTCAAGTTTTGATGCGGACAAACTTTACTTCAAGCCCTAAAAGGTGTTATCTCAACATCTTACTGTAAGATTTTTCTTTCCCTTATTTAGCAGGGAACATGGATGACTTTTGTCTTTCTGGAATAGGAAACCATGCTGGAAACACCGGGAAATGAAAGGTTGGTGAATATGTTGGATGCTCTCAAATGATCATTAGTCAGCATTTCATGAAGACAAGAAGTGGCCCCTCAGTCTTACCTGCTGCAAGGCGCTGTGCCCGCCCCCGAGGGGGGCTTTCCCACCTGGTCTACTGTGTTTCTCTAAGGTGCAGATGAAGCCTGTAGCCGCGTGCTGTGCAGAGCTGAGCAGCATCCCACTGCCAGCAAATGTGCTCCGTGGGAAGGGCTCAACCCTGCTCTGCCTTCGGGACTCTAGACCTCTCTTGTCTGAAACTAAGGGAAGGGGCCTCTCGTGAGTCCCTAACACGGTGGCTCATTGTAACCACTCTGAACATTCTAGTCACGTTTTGGGGATGTCTGCTTCTCAAGGCTCCCCTCCCACACACAAATCTTTGGGAGGAGTCATTTTCTCTTTCTTCTCGCACCTGGTATTTGTTTAGTCATGGAAATGCTCACATAGGGTGTTTCTTTTATTCTGAGCATATGATAGGATAAATTAAATAATGGATTTATAGGACATTAATTGACATTGACAGGCAAATATAAAAGCATCCTGAATTTGATACTCCTTGGGAAAGATATTTTTATTAATGCTTTTACATCAGCTGAACATACAGTGAGCATAGGAAAACTTTATAAATTTCAAGTACAAACAAACTTTATTTATCACTAGTAAGAAAGTAAAAGTTAAAAGAGTGTCTGCAGGGTGTTTTCAAAGGCCTTAAAAGTTAGGATATTGTTTGATCTTTAAGTTAGGATATTATTGGAAACATAAGATGTAATGGGGAAAGTGCCATAGTGCGCCCTTGATCCTGGCTCCCTGCTGCCTACTCTCACTGAACAATCCTTCCCTAAGTGCCAAAGTTCTTGAAAACATATTCTTTACCAGAGGCTTCCATTTCCTCTGCTTCCATTACCTACTACACTTTGGAGTTCATCCTTACACCCCACTGAAGCCACTTCATTGTCTCCAGTGACCTTCCAATTATTGAATTCAATGGATATTTAAGAATGCCTCCTTACTGAAGCATCTGTGGCACTGAATCTTGTTACTTTCTTGAATTCTCTTGGCTTCCAGGATGTACTCTTTCCTGGTTCTCTTCCTGCCTTTCTGACCTCCCAAGGGCCTTCGTCTACTCTGGGATCCTCTGGAGCTGACGTTGGCATGATTCCTTTTCCCTAAGCTGCTCTCCTGGGGCTTCCATTTACTCCCCTGTTGCCTTTGGATGTGATGACTTCTCAGTTGCCACTACAGGCCCTGACTTCCTTCCTTTGAGCCCTAGAAGTGCATTTCTATTTGTCTACAGGTGACATGCACTTAGATGTCCCACAAGCATCTTAAAGTAAAGCATCCTAAATGGAACACTGTCATCTACTCTGAGCCCTCCTGTTTTCCCTCTCTTGTCTCAGACCACCATATTCTACCCAATTCTTAGAGCTAGGAACCTCACAATCAGTCTTGCCTTGCCAGTCAACCTTGTTTCTCTTTTCTGATTAGCCGCAAACTACTGGCAAGTCTATCTCTTAAATGCATCTTCTCAACATTCGTCTGCCCAGCTCTATTCCCACTTCCTAAATTCAGATCCATACCACCTCTTGTTTAGACAACTGTGGTTGTAAATTGGTCTTGCCCTATCTATATTTTGCAACTCTCTGATATACCACTCCCTCCATCCCAGCATACTTTTTTTCATCTGCATGACCTAACAAAATAGAGAACACATCTCATTTTGCACTACTTTCCTGGTCAAAAAAATCTCCAGGTCGACCTTTGGCTTTAGGATGACTTACTACGTCCTTGAATATTTGTCTTCAAAGTGGGCTCATGCAGGGCCATTCTCTGATATGTATCCTACTCTCCATTCCTGAGTAAGCTGTGTTCCTTCACATCTCTCAGCTTCCTACATTCTTGCTTCCTTGTCCTCCACCCGTGACAGCTACTCATCTTTCACACCCCAGCTCAACAGTAATATCTGAGGCTTCCATGGATCAGAGAGATTTGGATGCTCTTTTTTTGCTCCCAGAGCAAAGTGGCAATAAAGACTGTGGTTATGGAAATGCCCTCTGGATTTGGACACAACCGAGTTCTCATCTTGGCTCTATCACTTCACAACTAGGAGCCATTAGACAGGACACCCAATCTCCTTAAACCTGTAAAATGTTGACAATGACAATACTTTCAGTATTTTCATAAATATTGGATGATATAATGAATATAGAACACTTGGCATGATAACTGGAATACCATAGTAAGCACCCAACAGATGATATCTATTATTTAATTTTCATGGCATATAATCTTACAACAAAACAACTATACTACGTTTCTAGTTTATTATAGTTACTTCTTACATGTCTGTCTTTCCCAAAGGCATGGGAGCTACTTTACAGTTATGTTCTAGGAACTATTCCCTCTGAACACATAGTGGCTGGCACACTGTAGAGAACCAATAAATTTTTAATGAATGAGTAGAAGAACAAATGGAGGTAATATCAAGAATAACAAGTTTTTGTTCCTCAATATTTACCTTGCCCAGAAATCTCATACTATTTACTGAACAATGTGATATTAGTCCTTAATATATTTTTGTGAAGGAAGCAGATAATAGGCTCATTTCTAATTTGATAATATGTGTGGATGGAGGGAAAAAGGAAATTAAATAACAACTTCAGTTTCACACAATGGACCAGTAGATTTAGGCATAGAACTAAGGTTCTCTAACTCTTTTGAACCTGTGTCACTGTCATGTTCTCTCTTTGGGGTTCAGCCTACATGATGGGTCATTTGTGCATCTCAAAGCTACTTCTAGGTTTCATTCATTATAAGTAGAGTATAAATAAACCTGGTGTTGTGACTGAATTGTGTACCCCTCAAAATTCATATGTTGAAGCTCTAACCTCCAATGTGACAATATTTGCACACAGGGCCTTTACAGAGGTAATTAAGGTTAAATGAGATCATAAGGATGGAGCTCTAATCCCATAAGACTGGTGTCCTTACAGGAAAAGGAAGAGACCCTAGAATTCTCACTCTGCACACAGGGAAAAGGCAACGTGAGACACAAGAAGAGACCACTACTTGGAAGCCGAGGAGAGCGGTCTGGCCAGAAACCAACCCTGCTGGCACCCTGAATCGTGGACTTCCAGCTTCCACACCTTTGAGAAAATAAATTTCTATTGTTTAAGTCACCCAGTCTATAGTATTTTGTTATGAAAGTGAGAGCTGATGAATATACTTGGTTATAATTTTTGCTATAATGAAAGAAATATATAAATTGATATTGTTGACTAACAGCTTACTGCGTTGCCAAACACTAACACTAGGCCAAGTCATTAATATGCATTAGCTTTTTAAATCCTCTTAACAAATTTGAGAAGCAGGTACTATTATTATCACCATTTCACAAATGAGGAAACAGAAAATCAGAATAATTAAGCAACTTGCCCAAAGGCACAGACAACAAGAAGTCTCAGATATGGAACTCAAGCTGTCTGTCTTCAGAGTCTATTATTCAACCACCATGCCATGCAGTAAAACTAAATTATCTGACATGAACAAGACTAGTGGTTAGTAGTTAATAAAAAAAATAATAATTTAAGTGGGAAAATCATTAAAAATACATAATTTAAAATGGCATTTTAATGTAAATTGCATAAGTAAACATTCATTTGCCAATATTTTACCTGGGGGAGGGAGAGGAGGCAAGGCAACCCTCGTTTCTTTGATATGGACTACTGCAATTCTGCGTTATCTCCTTCCATGAACCATACTCAGAAACACAGCACTTACAGTCTCCAGGTTTAGTTCTTCAGTGTGGAATGGATCCTAAAGATGCTCGCTAAACACTATGTGAAGATCTGTTTGGATCTTTTTACATTCCTCCCCTCCTCCTTTTTTTTTTTTTAAATTTTTATTAAGGTATGATTGATATACACTCTTATGAAG